ACTCCTCCCCCGCCTCGCTGTTCCAGACTCGACTCCTCCCCCGCCTCACTGTTCCAGACTCGACTCCTCCCCGCCTCACTGTTCCAGACTCGACTCCTCCCCCGCCTCACTGTTCCAGACTCGACTCCTCCCCTTCACTGTTCCAGACTCGTCTCCTCCCACTCACTGATCCAGACTCCTCGCCATAAGAGCCCTGACCTCATATTCTGTAATCATCAACCAAATTGGAAGTGATCCTGGCTCCATTTCCACATAGCCCCAGCCTCAGCTGCTCTTCATCCATCTTTCACTGTCACTCTTGGCTCAGCCTGTTACCACCATCAAAGAACCTGGAGATCACTTCGGAAAATGGCTTTGGAGCATGGATCAACCATGATCAAATTAAATGACAGAACGACTCCAGGAGATTGGGAGAGAAACTAAATGAATATTTCACGTCAACATTTTTTGTAGAGAAAGAAATGGAGTCTAGAGAATGTGGAGAAATAAACTTTGATGTTTTAAAAACAGTTCACTTTTCAGTAGAGGAAGGTCAGGAGGTCTGATCTAATGTATCCCAGAACATTGAGGGAAGTAAGGGAGGAAATTATGAGAGCCCTTGCAGAAATATTTACGTTGTGTATAACTATGAGTGAAGTGCTTGATGACTGGAGGGTGGCTGATGTTGTACCTTTGTTTAAGAAAGGTTGTAAGGAGAAACCAGGGAACTATAGACCTGAGTCTGACTTCACTAGTGGGTAAATTGTTGGAGGTGATATTTGGAAGATAGGATTTACCGACATTTACAGAGGCAAATATTGATTAAGGATAGTGAGCATGGTTTTGTGCAAAGAAGACCGTGTCTCTCAAACTTAATTTTTTTGAGGAAGTTACCGAAAACATTGATGATGGCAGAGCAGTAGACGTTGTTTATTTAGATTTTGGTAAAGCCTTTGACAAGATTCCACATGATAGACTAATTAGTAAAGTTAGATCACATAGGATTCAGGGTGAGCTTACCAATTGGATACATAATTGGCTTAACAGTAGAAGACAGAGTGTTGGTGGAGAGTTGCTATTTGTACTGGAGGCCCATGACCAGCGGTGTTCCATGGAGTCGGTTCTGGGTCCTCTTTTGTCGTTTATATAAACGATTTGGATGAGAATGTCGAAGGCATGGTTAGTAAGTTTGCGGACGACACTAAAATTGGTGGCATAGCAGACAATGAAGAAGTTTTTCTAAGATTACAAAGGGATCTTGATCAAATGAGTCAATGGCCTGAAAAATGGCAAATGGAGTTCAATCAAGATAAATGCGAAGTGTTGCATTTTGGTAGAACAAACAAGGGTTAGGGCTTATACAATTAATGGTAGGGCCTTGAGTAGTGTTGTAGAACAGAGGGACCTAGGGGTTCGTTGAAGTTTATGTCACATATAGACAGGGTGGTTTAAAAAGGCATTTGGCATACTTGCTTTCATGGCTGAGCCCTTTGTGCATAGGAGTTGGGATGTTGTGTGAGGTTGTACAGGACATTGGCGAGGCCTCTTCTGGAATACTGTGTCCTGTTCTGGTCACCCAGATCGAAGGATATTATCAAGCTGAAGAGGATTCAGAAGAGATTTACCAGGATGTTGCTGGGTATGGAAGGTTTGACTAGTAAAGAAAGGCTGGATAGGCTCGGACTTTCTTCACTGGAGCGTAGGAGGTTGAGAGATGATCCGATAGAAGTTTATAAAATAATAAGAGGTACAGATAGAGTTAATGGTAGTTGTCTTTTCCCTAGGATGGGGAATTTCAAGACCGGGGGCATATTTATAAGGCAAGAGGAGAGAGATTTAGAAAAGATATGAGAGCAATTTTTTTCACAGAGGGTGGTTCACATGTAGAATGAACTTCCTGAGGAAATGGTGGATGTTTAAAAGACATTTAGATAGATACATGAATAGGAAAAGTTTAGAGCAACATGGACCAGGAGCAAGCAGGTGGGACTAGTTTAGTTTGGGATTATATTTGGCATGCATTCGTAGAATCCCTACAGTGTGCAAACAGGGCATTTGGCCCAACAAGCTCACATTGACTCTCTGAAGAGCATCCCATCCAGACTCACCCCTCTACCCTATCCCTGTAACCCTGCATTACTTGTGGCTAATCCAGTTAACTGGTTGGACCAAAGGGTCCGTTTCTGTGCTGTAAGACTTATGACTCTATAACTGATTGAGGGCCTTGAATGATCCATGCCAGCCTCCATGTTGAGCTCTATGACCATTACTCTTTTCACTGAAGAACATGGTTTACCCAACCAATTCTGGTTCCTGTTTTCTATTTCAGATTATGAATATTTCCACAGACCAGAATCTTTACAATATTGTCCTGCACAAGGAGGTCCTGTATTGTTTTCAAGCTCAACTTTTCATTTCAGAATACAACAAGTTCAGTAACCATAGTGACCCAGTATGCGAGTCAGCCAATGATGGTGAGTTCATTTTCATTGACCGAGACATAGCCATAACAGCTTCCAATATTTTCTCTTGCTGTATCAAAATTATTTCTGGGCAAAGTAAATGAGACCTGGGGTTTATGCTGTGATCTAGAACTTTCTGCACAAGTGTGTTATGTGGCCCTCTATTGAGTGCCTTTTGAAAGTCCATGGGCAGCACATCAATGGCCTTTTCCTCAGTAGCCCTCTGTGTTACTTCATCAAAAATCATGCCAGCAAGTTAATTAGACACAATTTTCCCTTAACAAATCTGTGATGACTCTGTGAATCAATCCATATTTCAACAAGTGACTATTAATTTTATGCTCAGTAATCGTTTTTGGAAGTTTCCCCACCACTGAAGTTATTCCACAATGGTGTTTACTATCTTCAAGGCACAAGTCAGGAGTGTGATGGAATACTCCTCCTTTACATTGATGAGTGCAACTCCAACAACACTCAAGAAGCTCAATGGCATTTAGGACCAATCAGCCCCCTCTTCCTCTCTTACTAAGGAAACATTAGGTACCATCTACACAGTGCACAGCAGCAACTCGTTAATGCTACTTTGGCAAGAACTTCCAAATCCAATTCTATTGTGAGAAGATCAAGGGCAGCAGATAGTTGGGAACACCACCACCACCCACAAATTTTCCTCCAAGCCACACACTATCATCCTGCCTTGGAACTATATTGCTGTCCTTCACTGCTGCTGGGCCAAAATGCTGGAGCTTATTCCCTAACAGCACAACGGGTATACCTACTCTCTGAGCACTGCAATAGTTCCGGAAGGACGCTCACCATCATCTTCCCCAAGGCAATTAGGGATGGACAATAAATGCTAGCCTAACCACTGATACTCACATCCTGTGAATGAATTCAAGAAAAGACAAATCCCTGTTTTTGGCTGATTTTTCAATTGAGTTTAGAACTCAGTATGCATAGAATTAGCTAGCCTGTCATTGACCAAGAATGAAATCTGTAAACTTACAAGTCAGGATGACTATGGGACAACCCAGCCTCTTGAGTTTGTTTGTTTAGACATTGGCTAATCTATGCCTCAGTTCCATTCATCCCCTTCATTACCCTTGATACCAAGCTTAAGGCCTTACTAATCTATGTTGATCTGATCTTGACTCTATAGTTCCAGTTACCACATCCAAGGAGATCCTTATAACAGTGACTACGGTGTTACTTCTTGGAGTCTTCATTCTGATAGTCTCCCTGTTTCTCACATGGAAGATCTTCTGTCAAACCCAATCTGCATGGCTTCCCAAAATTTCAACTCCCTACATTCCAGTAAGTGCCTATCACATGCATGTCCTTGTATATAGCTCCCATGTCCTGTGCTTTATAAATGCTCAATAAATTTCTCTGCTAACGATACCTTGGTTTGAGATTTGCTACTTGATGGGCTCATAGGATAGGGGTCGAACGTAATATAATGTCCCAAAGCAGTTGACGGGTTATGCACTTGTACAGAAACAATGATACTGAGGTAAAGAAGGAAACAATAAGGCAAGTGGACTAAACATTGGTCAGAGATGATGGATTTTAAGGAACATGTTGAAGGTAGAGATAGAGCTGGAAAAGTGGAAGGGTTGGAAGAGGAAATTCCAGAGCTTCAAGTCCAGATTGGCAACTTTGCCCGCAGCAATGATGGAGCAAAGAAAGTCAATGACGAACAGTAAGGCATAGTTGGAGAAAGACAAAAACCTTGGACTGTCAGACAGGAGAAGTTTTACAGAAATGATGTTGGCGACAACATGGTTATGGACGAATTTGGAAACAAGGATGAAAACTTTAAATACCCAGCTATAAAACTGTCCCACCATGAATAAAGGCACTACAAACAACCAAGTCCTAGAAGCACTAAGTTAGACAGGAAGCAAGATGGAAGCACAATTAGGACAATACAAATTTCATGTGCAAGTTAGTTCCACTTTGGTATCATGTCCTTAACATTTGTGAGTGGGTACATTTTTAACAGAAGTGGGATAGATTCTTCTAAACAAGATCATTTTGATGTGGATAACATACAGAAAGAGGTAGAACTGTCAGGCCAACACCTGAAACCCTGTATTATTAACCTCTGAGATACATGATAGAGGTAAAGTGTAGTGCATAAAATAGATCTGGGCTCACAATATGCCAGTTTTCCAATGTTACACTGGGCCACAGGCAAGTACGAACTTCTCAGTAATTTAACTGTGTGAAATTTCAGGCCCTTAGTGGTTGGCATTGTGCGTCCCCCTTGCATTCAACAACTTAGTTACATTTTCCTGTATCCAGTAGAATGTGAGGAAAACCATTTCATCCACTGCTGCCTTTCCAGGACAAAATATTTTATTGGAGTTAAACCTTGCCTCACGTCCACTGCACACACTCTACAGCCGATACTTGCCAATCTGCAACAAGCACAACTTTCCTTGCTGGGTGTTTCTGAAACAAAAGGCGTCTCAATGTAGACAGATTGTCAGCCTAACTAAACAGATCCCTTCCTGGAGGGCCATTGGATACAGCCTAGATAAGCTTCCGACTAATATCCCCAACCAGGAATTATATTTCTGTCAGCATAGCTCTCAGGGCATAGGACACTGGAAATCTTCATGTTGTGGAGGTGCCGGTGTTGGACTGGGGTGCATAAAGACAGAAGTCACATGACAACAGGTTACAGTCCAGCAGGTTTATTTGAAATTACAAGCTTTCAGAGCGCCGCTCTTTCATTGGGTGTACCCTGTGGGTATGGAGTCATTTAAGACAAGGAGAGGAAGTGTCAAGGGCATTGTAATGAAGTGCTCTCTTTGTTTTACATTTCTCTTACAGAACTTTGGTAGCCATCGAGTAGACATCATGAGTGAAGAAGACCACAGCCATGAGTATTGCCATGTTGTGCAGGTTCTACCTCAGTCAGAGCCATTACTCAGTCAATGTCAAGCACTGACACGGGAGGAGAATCCACACTGCAAACAGATACAGACTGTTGGGCAATCAACTTCATGATATCAGGGAATGTCTCCCAATCGCATTGTTCAATAGAGATTGAGTGTTGGAGAGGATATTGGAGACTGATTCTGACAGCACTGGCACCTTCTGAATTAGGAAGCAGCAGGATGAGTATTTAAAGAATTTAATATGAAATGACAAGTTCACAGCGACCTGCTGCTCATGGAGTTGGATTGAAATTCAGGCTGACGCAAATTCTCATTCTTGACTTTCAAGGATTTCAGTGGGCACAAAGTGCTGAAATGTTTGATGGCCTTTATTGACCCAACACCCATTCACTTCCCACAATCCAAAAAAGTTTGGGATTCTGCCCCTTACTTTGGCTGCATCTCTAAACTGAGTACTAGGTGATCCTTACTGAACAACTAATGCACTCATCTAGTCACAACATGGACAAAATGGAGGGTATTCTTCATCCCGTTGACTCCGCCAACATACCATGGGTAACTTTTAGGATTTTGAGATTGGAAGGCATAGATTGTGCTGTTATTTACAGATCAAGCGTGCTCCTCTGTATCTCTTTCAAACAGTACATCATTCTACACATCGTAGCCTAATTTTGCCACTGTTGCCAAGCTCATTAACCATAGTATAACAACTGAGCCTGATCTTTCTCTGTAGCAATTAGGAATTAATATCTATTGAACTACCCTGTCCCCTACACCCCCCAGATCCTGTCTAGACGTTCTGTACCAAATGTGGTCTCTAACCAATAATCAACACAGTCTTGGAGATCAAACCCATGATACATTAGTCTGAATGGCTTGGTATCAACTAATAGCATGTGATGCACTCAATCCCTGACTCATTGATGTACATGTCTACAATCTCTAATTGATTTTCAACTCCTCTCCAACCTGCTTGGTCATTCACTTAGGTTTTGGTTGATCTGCATTGTAACTCCAGCTACCTACCTTGGTTCCAAATCCATTCATAGCCTTGCCTAACAAAAATGTGTTCTTCCCAGTTTTTTGAAATTTGCAGTTGACCCCCAGTTGAGGAATGAATTCCATATTTGCCACACACTTTTTTGGTTCCATGTCCTTCCTGATATTAGTCCAGCTCTAATTTTAAGTCCCAAATTCTGGATTTTGTCTCCAGAGGGAATATCAATCCTCTTCAAATCCTTTAACCAATTAAATTGAACTGTGACTTTTGATATTGTAAGCAATGCAGACCTTGTCTGTGTAACTAATCCTCATATCTTAACAATTTTGGCCCCAGTTCTGATAGAAGGGGCAGCATACACATTCCGGTGTAATTGGGCTTTCAATATACCAACCTTATTCCATGAAATCGAAAGACCAGATTTGTAAATATATCCCAGTGTTACATGATTCATGAGTTGTTTAAAAGCCACACCATTCCAGAGCTCTTGCAGCCTTCTGTTTCATAGAAATTGTTACTTTTCCCACTTGGACACACGTTTGCTTTTGACCCAGCCTGACTGATGGAAAGTCTCCTCTATCTGGTGGTTGGAAAGCTCCAAGAGACCAGGCAGTTTCATGCCAGCTTTTAACGCAGTATGAAAGGCCACATGCAGGTAGAGTGAGAAACAAAAATGTACCAGAGAGCATATCAATTGATCTTCACCTGTCGTGTTGGGTGCACAAATGCAATCTCCTGTTCCTTCTCCCCAACCCTGTACCCATTGAGTAATGTGTCAGTCATTTTGTTTTGTTTGGTGATGTGAGCGGGACTGAAAATGCCATATTTATCATTCATTCCTAGTTGCTTTTTGGGCAGTAAGAGTCGAACATTTATTATAGAACTCAGGTTGCATGTAATATTACAAGATGCATGTTCCTTTCTTTGAAGCACCACAGTGAACCAATTGGGACTTTTTTTAAAAAATTCATTCGTGGAATGGAGGGTGTCACTGGCTAGGCCGGTATTTATTGCCCATCAAGCAGTTGAGAGTCCACCGCATTGCTTTGGGTTTGGAGTCACACATAGACCAGACCAGATAAGGATGGCAGTTTCCTTCCCTAAAGGACATTAGTGAGCCAACAATTTGCAATGGATTAATAGTCATCAGTGAACTCTTGATTCTAGAGTTTTATTGAATTCATATTTCACCATCTGCCATGGCAGGGTTTCAAACCCAGGTCCCCAGAACGTTTTCCCAGCCACCATCAGTTCTGAGGAAGGGTCACTGGACCTGAAACGTTAACTCTGTTTTTTCCTTCAGAGATGCTGCCAGACCTGTTGAGCTTTTTCAGCAACTTTGTTTTTGTTCCTGATTTACAGTATCCACAGTGCTTTTGCTTTCCCCAGAACATTATATAGGTCTCTGGATTAACAGTTGAGTGATTATAACACTAGGCTGTCGCCTCTCCTTGGTTTTTCATTGTCATTCTTCTTTTTATGAACTTATGACCTATCAGAGGGCAGTTGTGGCACAGTAGTTCCTTTGAGGCAGGAGGCCTCGATTCAAGTCCTACTTGCTCCAAAGGTATGTCAGAACACATCTGAACAGGTTGATTAGAAATATCTACAAACTATCAGAGATCAGCATTGCAACCTGCCAAGGCATGATTCCTATGTAAAACCTTGGGTTATTAGTTCTGTACCCAACCTTTAGACTAATACAACTTGCTTTGGTTTCTTAAGTAAACAGTAGCAGTAACATTTATGTCAGTGTATTCAATGAGAGTTTATGGGGGATAGAGGTACATTGTTAATACAGAGCGGAGATCCCTCTTCCTCTGCCCTTGACATGACTTGGGGTCAATGATAGTGACACTGAGGGTTCTGAATGAACAATTTTCCTGTCCCTTGACTCACAAAATTTTCAACATTCTTGAAAAAAATGATTTTTAATTTATAGATAAGAATAAAGAGCTTGCATTTATTTAGATATTTTTCATTTTCCTCAATATCTCACGATCAAGGACTATTTTTTTTTGAAGTAGATTCGCTGTGAGTGTGTAATACTGTCTTGTACCCTTTCAGATCTTTGATCTAGGTCGCACCTTTACGTTAGATTTGATCCAATGACCAAAGTCCATTAACTATTGGATGATGTTATGATGATCTAGGGTAGGTGCTGACCAGCTCTCTGTTAGTATCCAAATCAAATACAGTTCCAAAGTCCTCTTGTGGCTTTTCTCTTTGGGTGGGAACCTGGACAGTGGATGTTCACAGGCAAAGAACCCGTTACCTACCTCATTATGTCAGGAACCCCTTCCTCTCTACATTATCACTACCTCAAGGTTTATGCAGTGAACACAATATTATTATTATTTATTTATTATTATGATGCTCTCCCTGTCCGACAGCCAGGGTAAAAGAAACAAAGTGAGGGTGTGAGGTCTTGTCTTACTTAATTCCGAACCTTGGTTCATTAACTCAGAGATTCTGCAGTTAGATGTTATAACCAGAAATCTCTTAATATTGGCTCATTGTACGGAATATTAATTCTGATTTTTGCTCTTTTTATTGGACTACTATCACAATATAAGGTGAATTAAAGTTGGAAAAATAAACCTGCAGATCACTCTGAAGTTTCCAATAAAAGCAGTTTTCATTTATCTAAAACATGTTCCTGCATATATTGTTGTAATGTATAAAACAAAAATATGTAGGTTATGCATTTGGCAGAAAGAAACAGGGAGAATACTGGTGCAATTTTCTGAAGAACAATCGTATTTGATACAAATGATTGACACTGTCTCTCTGTCTCTGTCTGTACAGATGCTGTCAGACCCCCTGAGTAGATTCAGCATTTTCTTAGAATTAGAATTAGAGTTATTGTCACATTTATTGTCACATGAGTATAGTGAGAAGTTTGTAAGTTGCCACTTACAGTGCCATCAACAGTGCACCATTGTAGATACAGAGTACTTAGGTACAATCCTTAGTTACAGAATACAGGAATGAAGAAAAAAAAAAGTTACATTACAGCTATACACAGTATAACCATAGGTCAGAAAAACAAGAAGCAAAGTTAAAAAGACAAACATCACAGTCTCTCCCTAAGGTCTCTCTGCCAGCAGACCAGCACAGGGAGTCTCCACGAGGTCCGACCACTGGCTACCGCCACACTCCCACACTGGGCCGCTGCCCCACTCCGCTCCAGGCCACTGATAGCTGGCGTCCCTGCCCAGGCCGCTGGTCGTTGGCATCCCCACTCCAGGCTGCCAATCCCGCTTTGGAGGCTGGGAGTCGGAGGCTGGGGCTGGGTGTCCGAGGCCGAGAGACCGAAAGGACAGAAGAGGAGAAAAAAAACACAGGGGCAGAAAAGAGGGAGGTTTAAAAAAAAGAAAAAGAACAGGCAAAGCAGACAAGCTCTGGCTGGAACGATCTACTCTGCCACCATCTTGGAGTTTATCTTGGACTTTCAGTTTTATTACATTAATAAAAATTAATTAATAAGTATTAATGACACAGTTCTGAAGAGAGTCCAGGGACAGAGAGACCATTGGGTACAAGCACATATTGAGTGAATAGTTAGCAAACATCATGATCACACAAGGTGTGTCGGCACAGTGGTCCATTATCTGCGAATTTGTATAATTCTTTAAACATCCTTCTAATTTTTCTTTAATGTTCCATTTTAAAAATAACCAGCAAAGATTTAATCTTAAACATAATAAAAGTTAGTTTATATACACAACTGTTGCTGCAAGTTACGAAGTAAAAAATATTGCAGTTATTAGTTAAGGTCCAAATATGAAGATTAACAGTTGTTACAGATAAAAGATACATACAAAAATGCGAGTAAGATCAGCCTGTCATTGCTGCAGATCTATTATGTACTTGAAAATTCTCTGTCAAAGTGAAAGATTTTTGAACTTGAAGTCAGCATCAAGCTTCTGTAGTTGCATTGTTAGAGGTTCCTTCCACAGTTGGATTGGGAAGAATATCCTCTGATGGAGAGAATGCCATTAATTTCACTTTTACAGTACTGTGACCATTTATAACCTGGTTCAGTGCAGCAGTCTTTTAGCTGGGCAGCTTTTGTCCGCCTTCCTGTTGAGAACTCTTCCCCCTCTAGATGGTGTCTCTCAGGGCTCTTCTGCTAAAATAGTGCCGCATTACCCGTCCCAAACAGGTCAAAACTTAAGATCACTGCTGTGTTAACTTTGATCAATCATCATTCCGCAAAACAAAGTCAATTACTTTGGAATTTCCAGTCATATCCTTCCATCCTGTCTTTCTCAGAAAATTTAAATTCTCACATCTTTAGAAGGATCCATTGCGCTGTCGGGAGCTAATTGAGTTCTCAATGTCTCCCCTTATGATTATTACTAAGATAACACATCAACCTGCCTTCTCTTTCCGGCCATAGGGAATTGACAATACAGTCATGTGACTTCTGGGAGACATTTTGTAGAGTCCTATGCCCATTAAGACAGCTTAGCCTTCTTTACAAAATATGTAACATTATAACTACACAGTCATGATGCAAAGCCTTTGGGTCTTCATAAATTGAAGTACTAAGTACAAAAGCAGGGATGATTTACTGACCGTTTATAACACTTTGGTCAGGCCAATGATAAAATATTGTGTCTAGTTCTAGCTATTACATTAGGAAGGCTATCAAGGTGCTTGAGAAGGGGTAAAGGAGATATGTCAGAATTTATTTTGTTAATTCTTTCGTGTATTGTGAGCATTGCTGGGCAAATCAGCATTTGTTGCCAGACCTGCTACGTTTCTTGAGCAATTTCTGTTTTGGTTTCTGAGTTCCAGCATTTACAGTTCTTTGATTGTTTTGTGTCCTGCTCTCCTGTGCCCATCAGCTGATGGAAGCCTCATTGTTCACTAGCTCTACCATGATTATTTCAGTTCTCCACACTGGCTTCTCATCCTCCACTTAAATAACCAAATTCATTAAAATTTCCATTAATCATAGAGTCATAGCAATGTACAGCACGGAAACAGACCCTTTGATCCACTCATCCATGCCGACCAGAAATCCTAAATTAATCTAGTTCCATTTGCCAGAATTTGGCCCATATCCTTCTAAACCCTTCATATTCATATATCCAACCAGATGCCTTTTAAGTGTTGTAATTGTACCAGCCTCCACCACTTCCTCTGGCAGCACATTCCATACACACAACCCTCTGCATGAAAAAGGTGCTCCTTAGGTCTCTTTTAAATCTTTCTCCTCTCACCTTAAACCTGTGCCCCCTAGTTTTAGACTTCCCTACCCCGGAGAAGAGACCTTGACTATTCACCCCATCCATGCCCCTCATGATTTTATAAACCTCTACAAGGTCACTCCTCAGTCTCTGATGCTCCAGGGAAAATAGCCCCAGCCTATCCAGTTTCTCCCTATAGCTCAAACCCTCCAACCTTGGCAACATCCTTGGAAATCTTTTCTGAACTCTTTCAAATTTCACAACATCTTTCCTAAAGCAGGAAAACCAGAACTGAACACAGTATTCCAAAAGTGGCCTAACCAATGTCCTATACACCTGCAAAATGACCTCTCAACTCCTATACTCAATGCACTGGCACCTATTTCACACCAAGTCCCACTCACTCTTCACTTCTTTCCTTCATAAAATAAGTTGGTTTCTGGTTTCCCACATGACTCAAATTTAAATGATCATCCTGATATTTTAGTCTATCATGGCTTAAATCTTATCTCCCTCTGATGATCCATCCTTCCCAGTGCCTCACAACTCTGTAATTCTCTATCTCTGGCTTTGCATGCTGCATCACCTTAAACACACCAGTGATGGTTGGAGTTTTGGGTTACTTGGTCCTACCTTCTGGAATTCTCTCCACGAACCTTCCTGTCGCCCTCCTCCTCTCTCTAGCAAGAAGAACCAGGGGTCACAGCTTAATTATGCGGATTGGGCCATTTAAGACTGACATGAGGAGAAATGACTTCACCCAGCAAATCCTGCACCATGGCACAGTGGCTCAGTGGTTAGCGCTGCTTCCTCACAGTGCCAGGGGCCTAGGTTCGATTCCAGCCTTGGTCAACTGTCTGTGTGGAGTTTGCACATTCTCCCTGTGTCTGCATGGGTTTCTGCCAGATGCTCCGGTTTCCTCCCACGGTCCAAAAATGTGCAAGTTGGGTGGAATGGCCATGCTAAATTAGTCATAATGTTCAGGGATGTGTAGGTTAGGTGCATTAGCTATGGGAAATACATGTTTAGAGGGATGGATCTGGTTGGGATGCTCTTTAGAGTGTTAGTGTGGACTTGCTGGGCCGAATGGCCTACTTCCACACTGTGAGGCATTCTAGGTCAAAAAGCAGTCAAAACGTTGAATGTTTTCCTGAAGGAATTAGAGATAGTTCTTAGGGCTAAAGGGTTCAAAGGATATTTTATATTTTTTATTCTTTAAAATGTTCTTTAAAATGCAGTCCTTTGACAAATCTTTTGCTCAGCCCTACCATTGCTTTTTTCAGTTTTTAATCCCCCTGATGAGGCCTCTTCAAACACATTGGGATGTCTCTCCACACTGAAGGCACTTTGTAATAGCAGGTTGTTTGTGTATGTTTTTAGAAATAGCATCACCCATCATGTACTATATCAACAGTGACTATGGATTTTGACCAATAATTGTGTCCACATCTTGAATTCTGAGCCCTATCCTTTTTAAATAAGATCCTTCTATTTGTGATTGGATTGACTGGGCTTTTACTTACTGAAATTTAGAAGAATGAAGAGGGGGATCTCATAGAAACATATATAATCCTGATGGGATTGGAAGGGCTAGATGTGGGAAGAATGTTCCTGATGTTGGGCAAGTCAAGAACTGGGGAGCATAGATAAAGAATAAGGAGTAAGCTATTCAGGACTCAGATGAGGAAGAATTTCTTCCCTCACAGAATTGTGATATATTGTGATATATTCAGAATAGAATCCTTACAATGCGGAAACAGGCCATTCGGCCCAACAGGTCCACACCGACTCT